GGGGGGGGGGGGGGGGGGGGGTACATGCGGGTTATGTTCACGGTGAGGGACTGTATTCTATTGCTCGTCAAGATGTCGTGAGGGCATGGGGTGTACGGGAAATCCTGATCATGTGTTCCTAGAAGTTCGTGTATGTCCAGGAAATGCCACAGAACAGAGGAAAGATGCCCCGAGGTGGTGTATTTGCGTTGGTATCGGCCTCTCCTCCTTTACGCGCGTTCCGGGGTGTTCCTTTGACAAATAAGTCTTCTGTACGCGCCTCCCTAGGGGCCCACAGATATTTCGGTGTTACATTCGTTCAATTACTGCGCTGCTGCTGGATACTCTGGGCATGCTCATATTTACCCACACGCGCGAACGCGGCGTTCTGTCTCTTCCTGTCGTCGCTCACCCTGCGGCGAGGATGGCCTTGGGGTTGCGCGGGTCGTGCGTGAGTGCGTTTCCGAGGCATTCGAAGGCCTTCTGGTTCTCCCCTTGCTGCAGGTGCAGCAACCCCACCGTGGTCAGGAGTTCAGGGCTCTCGGGGGAGAACTCCAGGGCCTCCTGCAATAGCCAGAGCGAGAGAGACAACAGACGGTGAACGTGTAGGTGCGACGTGAAATGTGAACACACAGTAGCGTGCGCCTTAAGACTGGCTCAGTGCCCTTCCTCGCCGAAAACATGAAAACAATTGGCTGAATGAACGGAGGCCTACACTCCCATCATCGTGGTGAGAGAGAGGGAGAGAGCGATGCAGCTACGATGTGCAGCTGGCTTGCGAACCGTCGGACAGGGGTGGAACGGAATTGAGTTCGAACGAAGACTATCTACCTGGCATCAACGTAGCCAGCAGTAGAACTGATCGCAGGTGAGCCAGCAAGCCAACCACATCCACGCTTATCGAAGTACTTTCCCCCTGCAAACTAGGGGTATCTATAATGGAACAAGGGCTTTGCTCGTTGGACTCCCCCATTCCCCTCGGAAACACCAGCATTCTTCGCGCCACGCGCACTCTCACCTCGTAGACTGTTAGGGCTTCGGCCGGGTTGTCCTGAAGGCGGTACACCTGTAACTCGTTTTCCCCGGCGGGTTTGAATTTGGGCCTTTTGATCTCACGTGGTACAAGACCCTCAAGGTGGCAGAGGCAATTAAATCGGTTCATATAGCATCTCTAGGGCACCCCGGTGCCATCGCTCCGACCGGTTCGATGCCCAAACTTGGGCACAGCGGCCTTACTGGTGCTACGGTGGTGTTGAATATGCACACGCCGGTGCCATTTCTCCCATCTCTCCCACTATTGCTATTACGGTACCCAAACAACCAAAATAGGCTCACAGGTGCCACGACCGTACATAAGGGGTGTTGCCCCAATGATGCCCTCACCACATGCATGTAAAACGTGCCCAGGTACGTCAGTACGCCAGCTGTAATAGTGGCCTGGGCCCACTTTCTAAGCACCTCTTGGAATTGGGGTCGAAGAGATCGCATCCGGTGTCCCGAGCGGTATTTCTCTGACCGATGCCACATCTCCGAACCCGACATCTCTCGCATCCATACGGTATCCTAGAATTCTCTTCTCTGCACGTTTAGTGAGGTTATCACCTTGCCCATATGAAGGAAGGTGGAGTCGTGCCTGCTGATGGAGTTGGCCTGCTCAAACGATTCTAGCGCCCGCTCAAACTGCTTGAGGTGCATGTAGCACAGTCCTCGGCTGTGCCACACCTCCCAATCCTCTGAATCAATCTTGCAGACGCACAACGGCACATGGTTAAGGGTCTAGTCACGAAAAATGAAGAGCCAAGAGATCATGACGTCCATGTGTTGTATTTCACCCTTTCGAGATGCTTTCTCCGACGAGCGAATGCTGCGCTGACAACATCTACCTTCCACGGAGGGATACCAGCGCTGAGACGGCTTCTTACCGCCAAATCATCTGCCCTGGGGTCCCCCGAGTTGTCACCAAAAACCATATTTTGCTCGATTTCTGTGCCAACATCCAACAATAAAATACCATGAGACTCCAGGATTTGTTCCTTTTTTAGGTATACCTGTTGTGCCTCGCCATAGACATCGAGTGCGGCCTTGTGCTTGCCCAAGAGAAAGAGACATCGACCCACTTGTTTCAGGTTCGACGGATTCTGCGGGCTGAGACACGTGGCCGCCTGAAATAGCACCAGAGACTCCTGTATTTGACCCTGGGCTCGCACAATCTGGCCTACACAGGCGGGGGGTCATCCCCGGAGGAAGCAAACACGGCATACGCCAGTCGATATATCAAAGTAAAGGCGGGGCCAAAAGCATACGAGGTGATCTTCTGTATTGATGGAGGCCCACAGAGTATGTAAGTCATGATGGTGTTGTGGGAGTTCGAAGAACTCTCCCCAGCAATTTCTGTGCTCCCTAGGCCTTATGATCTTGAAGATCCTCCGCAAGGTAATCGTGATTCGTTGGTGGTCGAATATTCTTTGACGAGTGCAACCCACACTGGTTGCCGTCGAAGTCCCGTAAAATGTGCAAAATATACAAGACGGAAAGGAATTACTGTAGTACAGTCAAGGCCAACACAAACGGTATTCGTCTGCAATCCCACACACGAGGTAAAAGAGACATTCTGAAGTCTAAGGAGAGTCGAGTACATGCAGTCTACATAGACCGTTGCCGTAGCTTGAAACTTAAACGAAATGGATCGAAGTACATGTGTCAATCACATGATATCGTGTTCGATCTTGCTACCATAGACTGGTACTGTAGTTCTCACCCTTCACGTGAATCGCATATTCAGCCAGTCCATTGCAAGCACGCAGCTGCTCCTCGATGATTTGAAGACACTCCGGATACTCTTGCCTCGCGAATGCTGAGAATATGCGCCAGTTTCGGCGCTCCCGCAACACTACCCCCTCTAACGTCTCGGGGCGGTGAACAGGCGGGCCACCTCGGAGGTGGTGACTATCTTTCCCTGCCACATGCATCGGCTCCTCGTGGTGATACGGTGACACCACAAACGACCCTCTGCTGCTACTTTGGATCTTCGGAAGGATAACTCACCGTACGAAGAGTGTCGAAGTTGTAGCTCGTTGTTTATCGCCGCGGGGCGCTGTGTTCAGATACAGATATCGGTTGGTGTTGCGTGGTTGGATCAAGAACACGTGTCGTCAACATCAGAACATTCGTGGGTTGGTGTGCATCTTCTCTCTCTCTCTCTCTCTCTCTCTCTCTCTCTCTC